GTAATGATAACTTTCAGTATATTGAAGCTGGTAAATTCGAGAGTGCCATGCATTAACAAACGTCCGAATCTGCTGTCAAATTTAACAGCTAGAAAATCGACCTATTATTTGCCGCATTCCCATTCGCTGAGGGGGATAACGGATTGTTAAACCTAAACCTATAACATATATAAAAATACATGTGGTTGTCCTGTTTTATCTGTACAAAAGCATCATGTTGGAATCAAAAAGTGGTCTTGTTGATAATACAGTCGAATTTTCACGATTTTATTCAATATTTCAACAGAAATCACTAATATTCAGAGACCTTTGACAGCTTCTGTCAAATTGCATTTCGATAAAGTATTTTCTCATTGGTCCATAATATTAATGTTGGTGAAATCGGCCCTAAGTTTATTTTTTCTTCAAAGCACTGGCGCTCCCACGGGGGGGGGTAAAGAAGGTAATTACCCCCCCCCCCCTCTGTCAACCCGCTCACTGCGCATGCGACTAGCGACTAATCTCCCACCAACAGCAACGGTGTGCGCTTCTTCCTGTGGGAAAAGGTATAGTCTAGTCTTTTATGGACTAGTTTAGTGTTTAAATTCTGTCAGTCCGGAGTCCGCAACAAGATTTGGCTGAGAAGTCAAGAAGCGGAGTTTTATTGATCTGGTTGGTATTAACGCTATTTTCTGTGTTCTATTGATTTTTTATTTTCCACCCATAAACCAGAAAATTCATTTTTGTTTGTTTTTAATTTTTATACTATAAAAGAATTGTGTCTAAAAAAATGACAGGCGGAAAAATGAAAATTTAATATAATTTCAATTATTAAGTGTTTGGTCCATACTCCAGCCATCATTATCATCTATGTCTATTTTGTCTCGGAAGTCCCTGTATATAAGCACTACAGGGCATTTCGTTCGTCCGAGATGGCAAATTATATATTTAGTTTTTGAAAATTGCATGAACTTAAGAAATCTTGTTTTCCATACAGAAAAGGTTCTTTGTTATAAGATATGTGAATGCGTGGAAACCAATAATGCCGTTTATTCGACAATATTTGTGTGACTTTTAGTGCTGGTTGACGGCCGCTGTTGTTAGGATGATATAATATATATATATATATATATAATATAAATGATGTTTTCACTATCCCAGGAATATCGTAGATGTTCATTACTTTTTCTGGGTTAGACCGCATCCAATTATCGCAAGCAGTATTAACTGCTTTTTTCACTGGCCCACTGGTCTACAGGATTATGCCATTTTCCTTGCAGAACTCGATATTTTTAACTGCTAGGTGTGAAGCGTGATGTCCAGTAACAACAGTGCCTTATTTTCTTTTGACGACCTGATCTGGATTTAAGAAATATGTAGAAGTCTTCTTCTTGCATCCTTCCTGACAGATTCGCAGTGCCAAGTGTCCATCGCGTATAAAGTCATCATGAACGCGGAAAAATGAACATCGGGGGTATGTGATTCCCAAGGGCATTTCCTGCTAGTGCTATAGTAACCAATGTTACCCTCTCTACGGAAGTCATGGCTCTCACTTGTTTCTGTCCTCGACGGGCAATGGACGCGGTCTAGTTTCTGAACGGTTGTGATGCCAGATTCGTCAACGTTCCATATATCCTTCCCTTGTAATTTGTGTTCGTCAACTACTGTGGTATAATTTTGAAAAAAACCTTGCACGCAGTGTTGCCAGAGCGAAGTTTAAAATATCCGTCACACGTATCGCAAAATTCCGCTACATGCCGCTACGGTCTAAAAATTTAAGGGGGGGAGGCTTAAAATAAACAACAAATATATTTTTTACATATTTACTTTTTTTAAACACTGTCTAAAAACCCTACTAAAAATACAAACAGTAACATAATATAATTGCAATTTTTCGTAAAAACATAAAAAGTATACCTCTAAAAAAACAAAACTGTCTTTGGTTTAGAATTAGGAACTAATAAAAAAATTAGAAACTATCACCAATATCTTAATCTTAATAGAAAAAAAAACAAAAAATAAGGACAAAGAAGAAGCGGAAACGTGGAAATGCCTACGTTTGCTTATTTTATTCACAGTCAGAATCAGAAATTACTTCTTCTTCAGCTTGTTCTTCCTTATTTACATTATATAAATTCTTTTTATATTTGTTTAAATGATTCTCATTAAAACTATAAGATAAACAGCACTGTTTTTTTGATTCCAAGTCTATTTAATTGTAAGTAGTGCAGACAAAGTTGATGGTATCCTATTTTATTTCTTTTTTTTTGTTTTGTAATCAAGCATATAAGAAAAAGTTCGCTCAACATCAGCGTTTCCATGAGGCAATGTTAAAACGATTAGAGCCAGTTTACCTATATTGCGAAATAAATATTCGTCATTAAAATTTTTAAGGTCGTTTACAAACGACCAAAATTCAATGACATTACTTTTTGTTTTTAAAATTTCCTCTTTCTCACTATCACTAAAATAAATACATATTTTCTTTAGTTCCAAAATTGCCTTTTCGGTTTCAATATGAAGGTCAAATTTTTTTAAAACGTCGTCATGAAAGGTATCACTTATAATAAGACGATTGTTCATCACATCAACCGGTGAGAGAAACTTTAGCTCTGAAAAGAAGTTGTCTTTGATAGGAAATCTTTTAAGGGACTCTTCTACCGATTTTTGGTAAAATGTGACACATTTTAATTTAAATTGTTCGATTGCCGTGTTATTGCAGTGTTTTATTGCATCCATTGTATGCGGACCAACATTCACTTGTTCAATTGGTAATAAGCAGTCGGGATCATTAGGATTTAGATTATATAATTTCTCATTTTTAAAATATTCTGGTCGCATAAAGTTTGTACATAGATGACGTACAAATCGCTCACTCTCTATTGATATGATATTGAGCATAACTTTCTCTGATTGAAAGAGAGCATTAAATTGGTTAAAAATGGGCAACACGAATTTAAAAAACATTGAATACGCCTTAACAAATGGATTCTGTAACTCATTAAGTATCACATTTGCTACAGGATTTTTGTCTTCAATGGAAGCTAATCTAAATAGGCTAAGCAAGATGTCCCACTGATCCAAAACTCTATCAACACATTTGGATAAAGCAAGCCACCTTGTTTTACTAGGGCTTAAAATTTTTAATTTTGACTTCTTGAAATATTCCTGTAATTCTTCAAGAACACACTGCCTTTTTGGGCTTCTTGAGAAGTAAGAAAATAAGTTTTGTAAAAGAGCTTCAACGTTGCTTGGAATCTTTTCAGCTGCCGCCACCGCCACTAAATGAGCAGAGTGGCAAATGCAGCCATTGACAATTATATTAGGATTAGCTTTTAAAAGATAAGTATTGAAAGATTCGTTATTACCCATCATAACACTAGCGTTGTCGGAACAGTATCCAACAATATTGGTAATTTTTACTTGATTGGATATAACGCATTTTTTAAAAAGAGAATATAAACCTTTGGCGGTACCTTCATCTGCGTTTATTTTAATTATATCTAATAAATGGGTTTTAATTGATTTTTTATGAATATACCTTACAAGAATGCATAGTAGTCTTGTATTGCTCAGGTCTGTACTCTCATCCAATAAAATAGAAAATGGTTTATTTTCCAATTCTGAAATTATTTCGTCTTTAACAACAGGAGCCAGCACATTTTTAATTATACTTATGCATTTGGATCTTTTTAATTTAAGTGAGCTAGAGAGATCTGGGTATTTAAAACATAATTGACTAACTCCTGTTTTATATGATCAACAGTTCTAAAATTTATATAATGACTTACAACTAAAAGCCTATATCTTAAGCAAGCAAATATTTGTCGTTTTTCCAACTCACGTGCTTCCCGAGACTGAAAAGTGCTATCTAACGTTCTTACATTCGAAATTGCTTGTACATTAGTATCATGCCTTTTTGATTTCGAATGATTCACTAAATCTGATTTTTTAGCACCCATTATTTGATTACAAGCTTTACATTTTGCTTTCAACTTGTCATTTTCAATAGGTCCCAACCAGCCTTTAAATAACGGATCTTCTAGCCATGATGAGGTAAACATTTGTTTTCGTGTCTTTTTCTTAACAGGTTGCTCTGGCTCTTGGTTATCCTGAGATTCGCAAGTCGAATTATCAGGCTCAGACCTGATTTCAATAGATTCCGCTCTTCTATTTTGTCTGTATTCAGGTTCGGGATGCTCCGAGTCCGATACAGATGCAGTCGAAGTGGATGGTACGGCCACGTTTGGTTTCACCATTTGTTTTTTAGAACGATTTTTATCAAAAAAATCGTTAATGGTCGCCTTTCCATTATTCCTATTTTCCAGAAGAAAAAGCGTTAAAAACAAATTTCGCGACTAAGATTTATTTCTGGATCAAACTATAATATGTTAGATATTTAAGCAGTTTTGTTACTTACCAGTAGATTTAATATTAAAATCTGCAGCAAATGATATATTAATAAAATGATCAACACAAAAATAAGAACACTAATATAAACGATAATAAACAGTATATACCCAGAGCTGAAAAATACAATACAAAGCGAGAAACCTAATATTATGTCTGCCTGCTGAGACCTGTTAGAAACGATTAGTATTGAAAGCAGTGCGTACGCCATCTGTTATTGAAAAAAAAAGGCAAGTGGAATAATTCTCTTCTCTGTTCCTAGATGGCTCAAGCGGCACCAAATGCACCAATTTTATTATTAATGTGATAATAAATCAGACTCTAGCCACTGTCTATTTAGGATTTAGAACGTTATTAACGTTAAAACAGTGAAATAAATATGATAGCTTTGTATGTAATAAATTCTGCTACATTTTGGGCTAATTTGTTCTACCGCCGCTACGCCGCTCTTCTCAAAATAATCCGCTACAAATAGCGGAATTCCGCTACATATAGCAACACTGCTTGCACGTTCGTTCTATTCAAACTTGTAGCTCGAGCGACACTTGTAGGTTGAGGTAGTCTCATAGAAAGAACTGGATGACGTTTCATAAAAGATCGAAGCCATACCTCTCCAGCCATTTCATGCTCAGTCCAAGAAGGAGGAATTTTTTTATTGGATTCTACAGCCAACTCATTGCAAAAGTTCTGTCTTCCTCAGTTCTTAAGCCAAAGTTAGCAGCAGCGCAGTTTAAAAGATAGTCACAGAGTATCTTCTCCTCTGAAGCTGTAAAAACAATTTTTTATGGATATCCAACCGTTGGAGCAGTCGTCGTTTCGTTAGCTTCAAAAGCAGTTTCTTTTATATACCTGTAGAGGGCGGTATGGTTCAGGTTGTAACTCGAATCCGCGTCACGGAGACTTTTCTGTCGCAAAGTGACTTCTTCTACAGCAAGATCATATATTTCTCGATTTGCCATACCTCTGTCAGTCTTTCTTTTATAATCAGTAGGCATGCTGAAACAAAATTAACAAATTAAATATAAATAGGTAAGTCAGTTTTTCCGTGCCCGTTATTTATTGACTGTCTGATATAAAATTGAAAACTAGGAGAGTTAAAACATCCTATTTCAAATCTCCTCAGTAAGAAAAAACCTCCCAATCTTTATCTAATCCACAATCAAGAAGCAAATACACAGATATCAATTGTACCAAATATATATGTAATTGTAATAAATCTTAAGTTATTGAGCTTTCGAAACATACATAACTTAACCCAAAATACAAAATCTTTATCAAAATATAAGCATCGGAAAAAACGTTTAAAACTTACTTTTCACAATTTTTGTCACTTGGAACACAGAACTCTACAACCGCGCGACTTGCGCCACCGACGCGAACTGACACGTCTGCGGGCGGAAGGAAGTGGTTGAAAAGCGGCGTCGCCACTCGCTAACGATTTAAGGTTCCGAGAAATCGGTACTGTTTCAAATCACCTCTGTTTCAAATCCCCGCGGTCTCCTATTGTAATTTTTGGTGACAGCAGTTGTCAAGTTTGGCCGCGGGTAAACTCGAAAAAACTGCTGACTGTGTTTGTGATTGGTAGAAATTAAGACGAGGGAAATAGTCGACATGTAAACTATAGGATAGTTTTCACAAGTTGCAAAAAATATACGTTAAATCAAACTCCAAAGCGCGGAAAACGAAAAAGTAACAGGTTTAAATCAGAGTAACCGATACATTTGGTAAAATTGAAAATAAAGTGGAGGTCATCGGATAGGAACGTCCGTCATGCATCATCAAAGCAAAGCAAGATGATAAACGCTATTAAAACCTGCAATTGCATTTTTTCAGTGCTTCTACTGAATTGCACGAAGCAGCAACTACTGAGACTTCTCTAATAATTGTCATCTCAATTTATTAGTCTGATTTTTTTAACTTCGTGGTAAACCAAGTCAAAAGCTTGTTTTCATCAAAATAAAATTAGGGAGTGTGCTTTGTCAAACCAAATACCGAAAAAATATCATATTCGCTGAAACGACTTCAAGAGTATTCCCGTCATGCGTTATGCGTTCGAATGCCTACATTAGACGACCTTTGAATACTGATCAGTGTAGGAAACACTGAAGAATTTGGTCAAGATGCGTGCGGAAGTTTTTCACACTGGATTAAGAAATGCCGCCGCGCCGTCTACATGTCTTGGCATTATTGATGTTGCATACAATAAAATTATTACAAGACAAGTAGGTTGACTCAGTACTTTTCCAGCGTTTAATTTTTCGCAGCGTGTGGTGATACAGGCTTACCTTTGATAAAAATATCTAAGTATAATCATCCTGCATGTGCCTTCTTGTGAAATGATCTCAAAATATCATCAAAATCATCAAAATCGGTGCATTTGTTATAAAAAATGTCAATAGGCAAACCGATAAAAATAAACTATACTTTTGTACAGTTAAGTAATTTATAGGTAGTCAGTTTTTGGGAAACTAAATTATCGTTCGATTTGTCATATTAACCACCATCAAGCTTACACTGAGAAAATGTGGTCAATTGGGCAGTTGTTCTATAACTAAATTATTCTTTTTAATTAAATTAAATTATCTGGAACCCGTTTAATTGACAGATTCTGCAGTTAGTTGACGAATCAAGGTGAAAACTTAATCATCTTACCAGTAAGGGACACTGAACATATATGGGTGAATATCAGGTATTTGGGTTTTTAGTGGTACCTCAGAAAAATTACTCATTTCAGTTTCATATTCATTACCTCTTAAGATTATACTATTTGTGATGCATCTTTGACAGGACCAGATAGTTTTTTGATTTTTAGAGATTTTACAGCTACCAGGCGAAAATGTGTAGTCAGGGGAGTGACACTATACACAGGGTAGTGACAAACTGAGACAGAAGAGTGACAACTTCTCATGTGAATGATCTTAAAGGACACTTTATAAAAGATTATAAATACCAATAGGTAAATAAGTTCAATAGTTTTTTATTGAAAATAACAAAATCCTACATGTTCTATTAGTCTCTTAAAAAATAACATTTGGATCAACTGAGTGAACCCTGCTCACACAAGAACTAATATAAATAAAAACCACTATAGCTGTTTATATCTTGCAACTTAATATAGATAGCAATGTAGGTACCTGAGTAATAATAATAATAATAATAATAATAATAATAGAAATAAAATTATAAAAACTTAAAACAAAAAATTGACATAATACTTATGAATCGCAATCAGTGCTTATAAATAAAAAATGGTAGCTAGCATAAAAATAAAATTAACATAGGTATAACCCGATTTTTTATGAATTCGAGTAGATACTCATTTTTCGAATACAGGTATGGGAGTTCTGAATTTATAAAATAATCTATCTCCTCTCATTACTATATTTGCGATAGAAACATAAGTAATTTAGCATTGCTTGAAACCTCATAAAGCCTTAATTTTCGTTCTTCTTAAAGAGAGCAAAATCAACTCCATATTTACATGAATTACACACAAGCATGTTTATCTTCTATGAACGTTTGGATATACAATCCAAAAAGGTCTCAAACGTTAAAATGAAGTATAACTTATCGGCACTCCTTTGGTTTTAACGAACCGTGCGTGTAAATTCTTCATAGAGTCTAGTAAAACCCTCTTTTGTTTTTTACTTTGCTTTTCGTAATGTAGTCATTTTTTCCTGGTCATAAGCGACTGTTGCAGTCTCCTTCAAAAAAAAATTTAATTACGTTCTTTATATTCTCTCTAGTTTCATTCATTCTTGTTCTCCTTGTCACGTCTATCAAACCTCTCCCACAGTGGGTTATCGTTTCACAGGCTTCATATTAATTTGACTTAAAACATTGTACTTTCTAACAAACCTACCACTCAATACTTTACGAAACAGTGTCTTCTCATTTTTCTTTTTGGTATGCCTTACATTTTCTTTTAGTTGATTTTGAAGTACATTACTGAATGGCAGATGCTTTTTAACTTCTTCCACGTTCTCCTGATTACTTAGTTTCGTTTTTTTTTTTTTTTTTAGTAATCGGTCCACTTTCGACTTTGGTGACATTTTTAGACTTACGTGATCTAGTTTCCTTCGAAATCTCTTCACCTTGTTTTTTAATCGATCAATTTCGTTTTTTTGTTTTTTGATAAACTCATTTATTCGTTTCCTCTTTTTTTCTGAGGGTCTATTGGCACCTGAAGCTCTATTGTCCAATATTTGAGGATCGAAGTGTGGATCTTCATGGTCCGAAGGCGGCGGTGACTCTGGATAATTAACAATAGTTTTTTGCCTCACACGATCCCTATATCTTTCAGTTTGCTCTCTCCATATCTTTCTCATAGCTCGCTGTTCCCTATCTGTCAGATCTTTTATACTTCTAACTTATACTTTCTCCTTCTTTCTGTGATGCTTCTCTTTTTCTTATTCTTTTAACTCAGCATTCTTGATTGGATCATTTTTAATTCTCTGGTCGCGTGGTCTTTCTGCTTGGCGTTTTTTCTCCAATCTTGGGTTTGCTTTTTTATAATTTTGCCATTTTAGCGAGTTATGGTTTTTTTGGTACCTGAAATTAATGAAATAGTGTCTATACCACATTCAACTTCAAGAGCAGGAAGCAGGCCGCTCAGAGCCGTAAACTGGGCCAGGCAACTTCTTAGGTGCAGCCCGCTGATTGATGTAACAGATTGGTATGAACACTGACACTGAGCGTTTGAGCACTGAATACGGCCCTAGGCGTCTGGCCCGGCCCCTCATGCCTGACCTATTGCAGATCTACTGCCTCTTGAAGTTGAATTTGGTATAGTAGCTACACATCTTATACAAAAAGGTGCCTTTGTATTTCCCCTGGGCAGTGTGTATTCCCCCTGACATAAAAACTGCCAGGGGAGTGACGCCAGGGAAGTGACAAAAACGTGCGTAAGCCCCAAAAAAGCAAGATATGTTGATTATTATATTATTTTAACGTGATTCATGGCTTTTGTATTCAAAAATCTTAATTTTTTATAAAGTCGCAAAAATGTAACTTTTAAATTCACAAAGATATGCTTACCAGGGGAAATGCTTCACTCACTGGCAAAGGGGTATCGGACGACTGTTAGTGGGCTACTGACGCGTCCCTGGTCTTCGTTTTCCAAATTACGATAGTTTCTCACTATCCCTTCTTCATTTGCTACTTGCTGCTCAAGGTCAAGTCGCATAGTTGCCATATTTTGATGAATATATGCAATTTGAATTGCGCCAGGTGAGGGTGACACTGTTCTCAGGAACCACTAATAAACGGGATTTTTTACGCATTTATGTATATTTTTAGTGTGCCTTTTTGCGAAAATATGTTATCAGTTGTATTAGGTAATACAAAGAGTATCCGCTTATTGTTATACCAGTACATAATACAGAGATTTGTTGATGTTTGCAGTGAAATTTGGGAATGGAACATGCCAGGGGAGTATACATTTTGTTAACTTTCAATCAGATTTTTCCTAAATCTTAATGGTTACCTCAATTTCGCCATATGTTCCAAATAAAGATTGACATCTCCCACTATTTGAATGGTCTATTTCCACAATTTGTTCATTGGATTAAGATTTTTTTGCAGGAACATTGAATTCCCGAATAACTGATATTCACCCATATGTCAAAAATTATTAAAATCAGATAAACATAGGTGTTTACCTTTTTTGTCACTCAGTATACTTGAACTAGAACTTAGTCTTGTAATATCAACATTATTCCTAAGTCAAACTTGACCGATTCAGTGAAACTCAAAAAAATATTTGAGCTTTGATTTATGTTTTGTTAAAAAGAAGACTTATAAATCATATATACAGGGTGGCCCAACGCCCATTTGTGACACTCATGGTATATTTTGGAAAATCCCTCGGACATGTCAATTTTTATTTCTTCTTCTTTTCATCTATAGCCGTACAATACATGGTGATCCAAAAATAAGATATTGCCTTAGACTTTAGATTTTTGAATGGAAAACGTCATTTTTTTATTTTTAGATTTTCCATAAAGTTTTTAGTAACTTTTTTATAATAAAGTTTATACCTATCTTCAATCGTTGTGAAGCTGTTTGAGTTTATAATGAAATTCGACTAACTAAATGCAGATAATAATGGAATGCACGGCAAAAAATAATAATTATGGATACCAACAAGAACATTTAGCATCAGTCAGTGTCAACGAATGTCAAAGAAAAACTTTGTCTTTCATTTCAAATTGGTAAGCTACCTACCTAGTTGTGATAAATATTGAACAACTTAACGCATTGAACAACCGGACAGCGGCTCTTGCATTGCTACCATTTTGCTAATAGAGTTTTGATATTTCTATCCTTTCTTGAATTGAATAAGTCATTGTTCAATATTTATCACAACTAGGTAGGTAACTTAACAATTTGAAATGAAATACAAAGTTTTTTTATGACATACGATGACACTGACTCATGCAAAATATTCTTGCTGGTATCCATTTTATTATAACCACAAATAGCTTCACAAAACTTTATTATAAAGGGTTGTCCAATAGAGACGCAGGAAATTAAACGTCAATTTGACATAGACGCCATCTTTGTTTTCTGTCACCGACATGTCATTTTGTTAGTTGAATGTTTACCATTGATCGCTATGGAGTCGTATTCGATTGAAGACCGCATTAAGGTTATTCAAGAGCACTACAAAAATGGTGCAAAAATAAAAAACACGTTTCGCGCGCTTCGTGAACATTTCGGTCACAACAACCGTCCAACCGAAACAACCTCAGACTAAAAATATAAATAGACAAATAATTCCCTACAAAATATCGTCGTCAACATAACTGTATTTACGGTAAACAAATATATGCGACGCTGCCACTTCTCCATACTGAAAAATCTATTGATAATGGAATGAGATATTGGTGTGCACTCCGCCCGAAATGAAGGTGGACTTAAATAAGGTGTGGACGCTCCGGTCGATCGTGGGTCGATCAAACAACTGCTCCTAGGCGGTTGTCAACGTCATTTTAAATTTTAAAAATTTATTTTTTTCTTTTCATATTTGTTTATACTCACAGAGGTGGCCGACACGCCGTAAATTCAATTCAAAACGGATGCAGGTTCATGTTGGGTAATTCACAGCGAACATTACATATAATATTTCACCCAGTCAGTTGTTTGGCTGGATTTGTTCCACCTTGGACGAAACTTTCTCTCATTCGAAAGTAGCACATTTCTACCGACTTTTTGCCGAACGTGGCAACGGTGTTCAACGGCAAGTGGTGGATGCGTACACAGAATTTACAAACATCTGGTGTTTGTTGTTGTGCACAATGAATTTGTTGCGAGTATTCAAAAGTGTTTTCAGGTTGTTTTAGCGGCAATTATAGCATTGTTATGATTGATAGACAATTTTCAAAGACAATGGGTCGTCGGAAGTGCATTCTTTGTGGAGTTAGCAGTGAAAAAACCTTCCACAGGTGAGTTAGAGGTTAGAGGAGGACAAGGGCGTAGCGCATGGGGATGCGTTGTGATTTTTAGTATTAAGAAATAGACATTTTATAGTTATTGGTTGTTTTTACACTGTATGTGTGGTGATTTTCAAAAAATACTCTTCTGTTAGACACGTTTTTGATCTTTCAGGTTTCCTAGTGACTAGAAAAAACAAGAAGAATGGTGCACTATCCTCAATATTGACATAAATGATTTACCACTTCATGCCTTTATTTTCGCAAATCATTTTCACAAAAGTGATTTAATAGAAGGCAAAAGAACTCAACTAAAGCATTCAGCAGTTCCATCAGTAGAGCCTTTGAGGCAAACAGAGTAAGTCCTTAATTATATTTAGCTATTGGATGAAATGGAATATTTTGTTGCTATACTTTTACTTATCTATTTTAAAGTGATTCCAGTGATGACGAGAATGAAATCAATCTTGCCCAGGAAATTGCCCTAAGCCATTCAAATAGTGAACAACTGGAAAGCAGGGATCTACCTAGGTATGAAATTTGTTTTTTGTTTAGATGTTTTACATCCATATCTGGATCAGCATATATCAATACAAGAACTTTTTGACGCGCTAAATGGCTAAAATGGCTATCAGAGTCTACAGAGTACGCTAAATCCCCAAGTATACCGTTATGTATAAAACGATTTATAATCCAACTTAAGCTCCACAATAAATGTAGTCTCAAAATCTTCCTAAACAATAGTTCATACAGGGTTGACCAAACAGACTATTGTACAATATGTAATACTCGAAAGACCGAATCTTTAGGACATCTCCTCCTGGAATGTCCATTATACAATCCATTGAGAGAGCATATTCTGTCAGATCGTTTGAACCAAATCTGTGTCTTTGCTTGCCTAAATAAAACGAATGAGTTGAATTTATGATACAAACTTTTTAAATACTTTAGGGAAATATTTAAGCTAAGATCTTTCTTAAGGAATGAATAGTTTTTTTGTGCCTTCAATATCAAGACAGAATATTTAAATTGATGCGTCAATTATTTATTATTTTTCTGTTTGTTTATATATTTTTTTATATACAACTTTTGATCATGGTTACTATCATTTTCTTACTATTTTTTATTCATACTCTGGACAGGAAATTTTCTACTCAATTCTTATTATTTACATAATACTCTCTCACTCTTGTTTATATACCTTTGTACTAGGTATTATGAAACAATAAACCTGATAATTAAGTTCCAATAATAAAACCTTGTTTACTTCTCTGTGTTTATTCTTTTCACTGCCATGGAAGGTCATACTGGGTGTATTAACCAGAACACCATTACAGAAAAGCACCTACGCCACTGGTGGAATCAGCTGTGGTCTGCACATACACAGCTTATTGTTTGTATTTGTTTTGAATTGGGTTTGTTTGTCTTCATGCATTACAGTGCCGTAAGAATGGTAAGTCTATTTATATTTTTAGTCTGAGGAAACAACCATCGGTCGTCTGGTGCGTAAGTTCGAGGCAACAGGTTCTGTAGCAAATCTACCAGGCTCTGGCCGACCAAGGAGCGTTCGCACACCTGAAAATATTGCTGTTGTGAAGGAGAGTGTGAGAGACGATCCGAAACAATCAACAACGCGTCGATCCCAAGAATTGGGCATTTCGAGAACCAGTTTGCTCCGCATTCTCCACAAGGATTAGAATGTACACGCCTACAAGATCTACTTGATGCAAGAGCTGCATCGGGCCGACCATTTTTCGCGCCGAACGTTCTCAGATTGGCTCCTTGAACACCGCCAAATTGATGCCAATTTTTCATCAAAAATCATGTGAAGCGCATTTCACTTTGAATGGGACGGTAAACAAGCAAAACTGCCGCATCTGGGCGAACGAAAATCCCCTTGAGTATCAAGAGCAGCCGATGCATCCTCAAAAAGTGACTGTGTGGTGTGCATTGTGGTCAAAAGGCATCATCGGACCTTACTCTTTCGAAAATGCGGCCGGGGACGCCGTTACCGTCAATTCTGAGCGATATCACGTGATGATAGAGGACTATTTTTTGCCGCAACTTGAAGGAATGGATATGGACGATGTTTATTTCCAACAAGACGGTGCAACATGCCACACAACCAACGTCAATATCCATCGATTGCAGTCCTTCTTCGGTGATCGCGTGATTTCGCGCAGAGGAAATGTGCCATGGCCACCAAGATCGCGCGATTTGACTCCCTTGGACTTCTTTTTATGGGGATATTTGAAAAGCAAAGTCTACGTCAACAAACCAGCCACCCTCCAAGAACTCAAAAACAACATCATTGCCGAGATAAATGCCATAGAACCGACCATGTTGCAAAATGTCATTGAAAATTTCGACCATCGCGTGGACGTCTAAAAATCCAGTCGTGGTGAACATTTGAGCGATATTATCTTTCATACATAAATGGTATAAATGAATCTTCAAAATAAAGTACCCAACTTGATTTGAATATCAATCTTTCTTGTTTTAATATGCGTTTACTTTCCTGCGTGCGTTTTGGACAACCCCATACAAACGTTACTAGAAACTTCATGGAAAACCTAAAAATTAAAAAAATGGGGTTTCCAATTAAAAATCCAAAGTGTACAGATGAAAAGACATCGCGTCGTCCCTCTAGAGATCAAAATTGACGTTTCCGAGCGTTTTTCCCAAAATATACCAGGAGAGTCACAAATATGGGGTGCGACCTTTTCATTGGGCCACCTTGTATATTGGAAGTGGAACCACCGATTGGTGTAGATTTTGCATGTAGTATTTAAAAATATCCTTGTTCGCTAAAAGTGTTGTTGAACTATATATGTAAATGCGTTGAGTGCGAGTGAGTGCAATATTGTTTTGTTATAGAAATAAAGGTACAATATTTTTGTAAGCATGATCAAGTGGCATTATTCAGTTTCAGGTATCCCTTTCCCTATGTTCTGAATTTAAAACAAAGAATTGCTCCTTGTGAATGGTGATAAATTATAACCTGTTTCTGGACAAACTGACTATGAAGACATCAACTGTCAATATCAAGTTCTTCAATGCTTTTGATATCTAAGATTTGTCAGAGCACAGCTCTAATATCATTCAGTAAAATGCAATTTGTTTTTGTTCAAGTTCCAAATATTATCCAAATATCCAAAGTCTAAATGAAATAATTCATTAAAACTAGACAAACACTTTTACCTAAACTAATCGAACACACTTTTACACGTTCACGACGACAATGCATGGAGTAAAACACGACTGTAGCCAATAATTGTTTTTTTTTGTTTTTGTGCAAATGTACGTTTTCTTTTCAATATTTACCACCGGTGGCACACGACGGCTTTGATGATTCTTTTTTTCATTATAGCCTTAGTGTACCACTGATTGCCTCTGAGGGAAATGAAAACTTCAGAACACAAGCGGTGTCAAAGAGGCTAGAAATAAAGTCAAGCGTGTCTCTACATTTTGTAAAGATGGTCCAAAGCAACCGACACTATGTCTCCAATGTTTTAACGAAATTCATAAGTAATGTTACCTACCTAAATATATAAGTACTTACTTCCATTGTAGAAAAAATATTTCTGGGTTATTTTTCACTAATAATTTTAACCTCTTACTTAGTTTAGTTACGTCATATGGTTGTTACAGTGTGCTTTAGAAATGAAATCTTATGAAAATTTTTTTTTTTTTGTTTTTGTGCAAATGTACGTTTTCTTTTCAATATGTACCACCGGTGGCACACGACGGCTTTGATGATTCTTTTTTTCATTATAGCCTTAGGGTACCACTGATTGCCTCTGAGGGAAATGAAAACTTCAGAACACAAGCGGTGTCAAAGAGGCTAGAAATAAAGTCAAGCGTGTCTCTACATTTTGTAAAGATGGTCCAAAGCAACCGACACTATGTCTCCAATGTTTTAACGAAATTCATAAGTAATGTTACCTACCTAAATATATAAGTACTTACTTCCATTGTAGAAAAAATATTTCTGTGTTATTTTTCACTAATAATTTTAACCTCTTACTTAGTTTAGTTACGTCATATGGTTGTTACAGTGTGCTTTAGAAATAAAATCTTATGAAAATCATGGATTTATATACCTCTAATTAAATGTCATAAAATTCACAATTATAGCCAAATGCGGCACCGGTGGCGCACTTATGTGTACTTCCAGATCTATAGCTGTATGCCGAGTAATATACAATTCCTTACTATAAGCCGTAAGGATTGGTAGCGCGTGAAATAATCAGTTGGAAGTGTACCACCGGTGACCAACGACGATTTTTGGCAAGATAGGCGATGTACCACCGGTGTACCACGTCGTCGTGAACGTGTTAATATACTTTGAAGTTGAGTCATTAATTTTCAGATAATGATTGTAGAAGGAAGATAAACCAAAATATGTGTGTAAAAATAAAAAAAAAATAAAAAAAAATTTTTACCTTGTTTTATAAAGTATCCTCCCGACAAGTATTTCAGTGCGGACCTGTATTTGATCGTGAGGTCCCCTGTGAGGTCTTAAGTCACCTGATTCACAAGCCCGTTGTACTACATTAACAAAGGCACGAGGGGTTGGTTGCACTCGATTGGGAAACCGATCCGCATAAACATGTGCCATTTTTTATTTCGTTTGAGCCACGCAACACATACCACTATTCACTGACACTAACTGTATACAAATGAATGAGATACCTGTAAAAACATCGTTCCAAATTCTTTCGCTTTTTTGTTTCCGATGCGATGAACCGATACGGCGGATTATATCCATTGTCGCCAAACACGACCACATAATATTGTTATTGAGACAGGGCGGTACTCAAACTTCCAAAGGGCTATAACTTTGTTACTTTAATTTTACCAGAAAAATGGTAAAGGAAAAAAACATTTCTTTTGATCAGATCTACTCACTGTTAAAATAAATGACTCAACTTCGAAGTCACCCTGTATATATATATATATATGTGAAATGTTTTTTTCCTTTATCATTTTTCTGGTAAAATTAAAGTAACAAAGTTATAGCCCTTTGGAAGTTTGAGTACTGCCCTGTCTCAATAATAATATTATGTGCTCGTGTTTGGTAACAACGGATATAATCCGCCTTATCGGTTCATCGCATCGGAAACAAAAAAGCGAAAGAATTTGGAACGATGCTTTTACAATTATTTTAGTCAGTTGTATACAATCAGTGTCAGTCGGTAACGCGTGAGTGAATAGTGGTGTATGTTGCGTGGCTCAAACGAAATCAAAAATGGCACATGTTTATGCGGATCGATTTCCCAATCGAGTGCAACCAACCCCTCGTGCCTTTGTTAATGTAGTACAACGGGCTCGTGAATCAGGTGACTTAAGACCTCACAGGGGACGGCATGCTCCAAGACCTCACGATACAAATACAGGTCCGCACTGAAATACTTGTCGGGAGGATACTTTATAAAACAAGGTAAACTTTTTTTTTCATTTTTTTTTTTATTTTTACACACATATTTTGGTTTATCTTCCTTCTACAATCATTATCTGAAAATTAATGACTCAACTTCAAAGTCACCCTGTATAAAGAGAAAATGGTCATGCGGAGAAAGGTATATAACAAAAAATAGGAAAATAATGGGCAAAATCCGCAAAAAGCAGGAAAGTGAAATCGAGCAGACGGGTTATCTATCCTATTCTCGAGCAGAAAATAGGATAGGTAAGAAGAAGTCTGGGTTCCTAACATATTAGCTATACAGATTGCACTTAAAATGTGATTTATGTTCTGTTTGAATTTCTTTATGTTTGAATATTTAATATTATCACACTAGTTAAGTATACATGCCACGTACTTATTTTGTTCTCATGTAGTAAAATATTTCCCTTTTGAGTATTTCTGAACATTTTCCATGTTTTTTTTTTCAAGCTGGCCTTGACCAGATAGAACACAATGGATTTAAGGAGCTTTAATAGGATAAATTCTAGAAGTTCCACTGAAGTTAAAAAATGACCAGCCCCAAATATCGTTTGCGTCCCCCCCCCCTAGACGAAATCCTGAATCCACCCTTGGAATAATCCCTAGAAGTTTGAAAACTTAATTCTGAAACACCCTTATTTCTTATATCTATATTATTGCTCTGGCCATCCATCGAGCTTGATTCATGGCGCCTAGCTGTCGAACCTTATTTTTTTTCTATATGTCCGCCAAGGAATATTATTGGAAGTTCCATTAATTCTCGATAGTCGTCTCTAGCAACTTCTTTGGTCAATTCATGTCGATAAAATTTTAGCAGCTTGACAGTCTCCCAAATATTCAGGCATGATAGCTTTTCAATGAAAATCTGTATTTTCCAACTCTCGCGAAACTTTTTAAACATTGGAATGTCAGCCTCTTAACACCAATTCGAAAACGTGATGGTGGCAAGCAAAAATAAACATTT